TTCTTGAACCAAGCGTTGCACCTCACTTTTTTTGGCGTGTAAACTCCCCATACCGGGGGCGCAGCCAAAGTTGGTTGCACTCTTCAACCCAGGCCAGTTCCAATCTCCAAATCCCAGTCAGCGCACCCCATTGAAATTCCCTTAGACACAGCTTCCCAGGCAATCCCCTTGGGGCAATTCCAGGTCTCCCGCCTCACTCTGGGGGTGGAGTCAGAATTGCTGCTTCCTTCTCGAGGTCGGGCTGGCGAGCATGGGCGGGAGCTTGCCTGCCGGGTGCGCTGGGCCGGAGCCCGCTGGAGTGAGGAAAACCAGGTCCCTCTATTGCTCGTCACCCGAAACACGAACTCACAGGCAACTTTCCCAGTTTTTAGCTCTTTGCCTTCCCTCTAGAGTTCCAGCCAGCCAGGAGCGCGGACGCCCGGTGTCCACGCGCACGGCTTTTCCAGGGGCCCCAGCTGCCCAGGAGGACAATGGCGGCAGGCGAGCCACCACTCTGAAGTCCAGCCGCCAGGAGCCAGCACAAAGAAGCAGTCTGTGCGTTCAGGCCCCCCGGGACCAGTTGGAGCGAGGGGACCTGGCGTGCAGGTATTTGGCAAGTACGGTCTTTCTATGCCCCAAGCGGAGGTCCCCCCCCACCCCCGAGTGGAGGTTTTTCTGTTTCGGACTCTCTCTTTTTCCCCTCTCACTCCCCGCAGAGGGGGATCGCCTCCAACCCTGAAGTCTCCGATCCTGGCCCGATTTTATCTTCCCCAGTTTGCACTCACGTTAGAAGCCTTTCTCAGTGGATTCTGCGTCCTTTTTCTCCCAATCTCTCAGGTTTTGTAAGGTTTCCAATGGCTTCAGATCTTTTCCGTGTGATGTATGGGCACGAGTGCAAGTACGGAGCTCCTTACTTCTCCGCCATCTTGCCCCCTCCGATAGGAATTGGAAAACTTAATCCTATTCATGGCAATATGCCCCACAGTGATCTACAGATTCAATGCAATCCATATCAAAATTTCATCAATATTTTTTGCAAAATGGAAAATTTATTTTAAACTTCATACGGACTTGCACTGGACCCCAAATAACCAAAACATATATATATATATTAAAAAAAGAACAAAGTTGAAGGATCAAACTTCCTGATTTTCACACATTATTACAAAGCTACAATAATCAAAACACTGTGGCACTAGCACAATAAAAGACATACAGATCAATGGAATAGAATTAAGAGTCCAAAAATAAAACTCATACATCTATGGTTAACTGATCTTCAGCAAGGGTGCCAACAACATTCAATAATGAAAGAATAGTCTCCTCAAGAAATAAAGGTGGGACAACTGAGAATCATATGTGAGAGAATGGAGTTGGAGTCTTATCTCACACCATATGTAACAGTCAACTCAAAATGGAGCAAGGACCCAAATGTAAGAGCCACAACTATTAAATTCTTAGAAGACAGCATAGGCACAGGAATGGTTTCTTAGATATAAAACCCAAAGCACAAGAAACAATAAAAAAGAAAAATTGAACTTCATAAAAATTAAAAACCTCCATACATCAGAGAGAGAGAGACTGAGAGTGAAAAAACTTCCCACAGTTTAGGGGAAGAAAAACTGCAAATCATGTCTGATCAGGATCTAGTATCTACAATATATAAAGAACAATTCAGCAAGTAAAGGACAATCAAAAAATGGGCAAAAGACTTGAATACATATTTTTACAGGAAGATCTACAAAGAAGGTACATGAATATGTTTGAAAAATTGTTAGTTATTAGAAAAATTCTATTCAATACCACAGTGAGCTATTACTTTACATCCACTAGAATGGCTGGAACTTAAAAATTGAAATGTATCAAGTGTAGGCAAGAATGTATAGAACCGGGAATCCTCCTACATGTGTGTGGGAATGTAAAATAGTGTAGCCACTGTGGAAAACGTTTTGGAGTTCCCTTAATAAGTTAAACATAGTATTACCATATAACCCAAGAATTCTACTCCCAGATATAGACCCAAAATAAGTGAAAACAGGAGTGCAAACAAAAACTGCTATAAGAATGTTCATAGTAGCACTATTCATAGTAACCAAATGGTGGGGAAAGCCTAATGTCCATAAACAAATGAATGGATTAGACAAAAAGTGGAATAGGGGCACCTGGGTGGCTCAGTCAGTTAAGCATCTAACTTTAGCTCAAGTCATGATCTCACAGTCTGTGAGTACAAGCTCCGGGTCAGGCTCTGTGCTGACAGCTCAGAGCCTGGAACCTGCTTCAGATTCTGTATCTCCCTCTCTCTCTCTGCCCCTCCCCTGCTCGCTCCCTATCACTCTCTCAAAATAAAGACATAAAATTTTTTTTAAATAGTGGAACATCCTTATAACAGAATATTATGCACATATATTATTATATATATTATAAGAGAAATTCTGAAACATGCTATAATATGTATGAACCTTGAAAATATTATGGTAAGTGAAAGCCAGACACACAAGGTCATAAGTTGTAGGATTCCATTTATATGAGGTGTCCAGAACAGGTAAATCAAAAGAAACCAAAAACAGATCGGTGGTTGGCAGGGCTACGTTAGGGGAAAACAGAAAGTGACTGCTTAATGGGTGTGCAGTTTTCTTTTGGGGCGATGAGAAGGTTGTGGAACTTAATAGAGATGATGGTGGCACGGCACTGTAAACACACTAAATGCCACTAAGTTGTACATATTTAAAATATTTTATGTTATGTGGATTTCACCCCAGTAAAAAAAGGCACTGATGTATATTACAATGTGAATGAACCTCGACAACATTAATGTAAGTGAAAGAAGCCAGAATCAAAAGGCCACATATTGCATGATCCTACTTACACAGAATATCTGAAACAGACGAATGCATAGAGGCTAAAAGCAGATTTGTGGTTTCCAGGAACTACAGGGGAGGGGAAATGGGGAGTGACTGCTTAACAGACACATTTGCTTTCAGGGTGATGAAAAAACCCTGAAACTAGACAGTGGTAAGGACTGTACAGTATTGTGAATGTAGTTAATGCTGTTGAGTGATACACTTTAAAATGGTTAAAATGATAAATTTTATATTATGTATATTTTACCATATCAAAAAAATGTATGTACCTCATAGCATGGTTCTGAGCATTCTGCCAACCCCTAAAAGCACAGTGATTAAGGTCTGTTTCTAATGTGATGAGTCTGTCTGTGCATACGAAAAAAGGCTTCCAGGGAAGTGTGGCAGGGGAGAATGAGCAGCTGAGGGAAGACATTCAGGAGGTGTTGACAATGAAATGAATGAAACCCAAGTGAAAAGAATACTGGGACAGTTTCTGGGTCTGGTGCTGACAGAGGAAACCAATCAGGGCTGAGAGCTCTCTGGCACCCCAAGGGCATATGGGCCATTTCTACCTGAGAGCTTTGTCCAGCAATCACCATGGGACCAGAATTAACTGCTGAGCCCAGAAAACGTCTTCCAAACATTTTCTCTACTTCTGAGGAATCCATCCAACAGCTGCATGAGAGTTTTGGCCATTTGAACGCTGTAACGCAGAATTTCTCCAACAAGATCACTGGGTCCAACTTCCTCAGCTTAAAATGAAGGGAAGTGAGGCCCGGAGAGATGAAGTGACCTGTGCAGGGTCACCAAGAAGAAGTGGGCCTAGAACCCAGCCTCTTGGGACTCCCAAAGAGGAAATGCATTGATGGCCAGGATGTGGTTATTTTTGGCGTATGAGTCAAGCATGCCAGCAGCATGGCCTGCAGATTTGGGGGGGAGGTGTCTCACCAATGGGAACCTCGGGATTTTGGGACAGGGGAGAGAACGAAGACTGTGCCCTAGCCCACCTACTCTGGTCTTGCTGAGAGCAACAGAATTCACAGACAGCTTCACCAGGAGCTCAGGGAGATGATCATACTGAAGGCAGTGAAGAATCAGGAAAGGGGGGAGGGAGAGCCCATGGCCCACAGCAAGCAGCAGCTACCCTGGGAGGAGTCTGCTGTGTGCAATATGACAGGGCTCACTGGAAGCAAGGCTGAGCAGAGTGTGATGAATGGACTCATTTACGGTCAGAGAAACAATAGGACTCCTTTGACAGGGTGCTTAAATTCTGAATTCCCAGTTCAGTTGGAGAGGAGGCCAAATGAAGTGAGGGGGCCTGTTGCTGGGCAGCCTGAGAGTTCAGAGAGCTTCCTCTCCTCCAAAGGTATGGGACACTGAGTGCCTAGAGGTTTTATTATTAAATGAGGCTCCCTTCCATCCTGTCTCCTGCTCTCTGCTGGAGGAAACAATCCTAGAAGGCATAAAAATGGTGCCAGAAAGAGGGTACCTCTTTGGTGCCTAAATAGAGGTGAAGGAGCCCTGAACCAAGGCCTGGCCTTGCCACCACATTCCTTTTGTGACACTAAAGTGAGTCACACCATCCATTCCTACAAAGAAGGGACAGGAATGTCTGGCTAGTGTCTCCTCTCTTTGACATATCATCCAACTCAGACTACAGAACCTGGAATAAGTGCTTTGCCCTCTCCGGTTTCACAGCTTTGCTGCCAAATGAGCTAGGCATCTGGTCCAGCCCCACTGCCTATTGGGGAGTGGATGACAGGACCAGGGCTGCAAGGTGACTTTTTTTTTTTTTAAGTTTATTCATTTACTTTTTAGAGACAGAGAAAGAGAGAGGCAGAGAGAGAATTCCAAGCAGGGGCTCAATCCCAACACAGGGCTCATCTCACAAACCATGAGGTCATGACCTGAGCCAAAATCAAGAGCCCTGGACACTCAACTGACTGAGCCACCCAGGTGCCCCTCCAAGGTGACTTCTTGATGCACTGCTTCCCACCCAGGTGTCCTCTAAAGAGAGCCTTCTCTGACCTGGACAAACACTTAATTTCTTGGAGAACTTGTCACCAGTTTTCTCCTGTCAGGTGAAAAGCCAAAGTAAATACTCAGGCTTATTCAAGCCCAGAAATTTTCTGGGGCTGAGTTGCTGGGGAGAGGGGGCAGCAGCAAATTAAAGGATACTACACGAAGGAAGACCCATCACAGAAGGTGTAATGCAACTTGATGGGCTTCTTGGATATCTTCCACTCCTGAGAATGCTGGCTGATATGAGCATGTTGGTGGGCAGGAGGCTGGTGAGGGGTGGGAGTGGAAGTCTGAGCACCTGGAGGGTGAGGGGTCTGAGCGTCCCCTTTTGGGGCTGACATTAGATGAGAGGGCATCTTTGCCCTGTAGTTGCGAAAGATCATGGGGTAGGAGAATTTCCTCCCTTTCCACGAGGCCCTTTCAGCTTCTCTGCAGGGAAGGAGACCAACATATCTTCTAGCCACTTGGCTCTTACTCACCAGGGACACTCTCTCTACACCCCTGCCCAGCTCCCAAGACTCTCATCCCATTTCTCTGTCCCCAGAGTACCTGTGCTCACCACCCCCCCTCAAAGGCAGTACTTTTAGGAAGAACTGGGAAGGCCCTGGTATCCCTCTGAAACTATTCCTTGACTGATTTCCACATGGGGTGAGGACCCACAGAGAAGGGGAGTTTGGAGGGTGGGAGCCAGGGGCTCTGCTGATCCCCCACTCCTGAGGTTACAACAAAAGAGCTTCCATCCAGAATGTTACAGTAAGGGGCAAACTGGGTGGCTCCCCTCCTCCCATATTCTGTAGCTGCAGTGATGGCCCATGGAAGCCCAAGGCATATGCCTTATATGGGGCTAGGTTTTAAATCCTTTATGACCCATGGTCTGAGCCTTTGGAGAAATGTAGACTAACTTACTGGGACCTGTGGGACCCAAAATCACAGATATCACTAATCACCCATGTCAATGTTTTTTGTTTGCTCTGAGAAGAATTTTGCTGCTGCTGCTGCTGCTGCTGTTGTAGGAAAACATCCAACAAATGATGTTAAGAAATAAACATTGAAGGCACAGAGCCTAAAAAGCGTAAGAAGCTGTGCAAAGGGTGAGGAGGTGGAGATCAATGACCTGGTGTCAGGTCCACCTAATTGTGGGACCTCCGGCAATAGCTTACCGACCTCCTTGAGCTACCGGTTTCCTCATCCACAAAATGGGCATACCCCTTCTTCTTCATCAGGTTATAGTGAGGGCTGAAAAGGACTGTGAGTGGGGAGAGCCTGGGGACGTGAGGGACAGCCATCACCCCATCACTGGTCACTGTCATTGGGGGCACTGGGCAGCTGGCACTTCCTGGCACTGCTCAAACACTTCCGTGAATTCCCCTTCAGGTTCACACAGGTAGTTGGCAGCCATACCCAACGCTCGCATCTGCCCCTAACTACCCAGGCGCTCACATAAGGCGACACATCTCCTGTAGCTTCTCTCGGGCCTCAGGGCAGGGGTCACTGAACTCCATACTGTCAGAGGCAGAGTTTCCGGGTCCTTGTTGGAGGGGTGATATGGTTATGTCTTCGAGGACTTTTGATCTGCCTGTGGCTGGAGAGGAAGAAGTTAGAGAGGGGTTCTAGAGAATGGTTTCTTCGTCATGTTCACATGGGGGTGAGGTGGCAGAGAGAGCAGGAGAACAGCTTCTCCTGACAGTCAAAATAATTGGGGGGCATCATTCATGCTTCCTGGGGACAGGAATCCCTGACTGGTCACTATAACACAGAGATATTGCTCTGTGAGTCAACTAAGCATGTGTTAGGAACAGGCATTTGCAGAGTTACATACTCAGCCTTATTTCCCCAGGACAGCCTGGGCTTGTGGCTGTCATGGATACTCAAGTCATTCCCTTTTGATATTTCTGATTAAAGACAGAAAATCTCAGTTCCATCAATTGGCTGCAACACTTCTCCGATATTGGCTAATCTTTGGCCTTCTGCAGAGGGTAGTGTGTATCAACAGAGTTTGACTGCATTTTTTTTTTACATATTGTGGTAAAATACAAATAACAAAAATTTACCATCCTATTTTTACATGTACAGTATTAAATACATTCACACTGTTGTGCAGCCATCATTATCACCCACCTCTATAAACTCTTTTCTGTCTTGTAAATTAAAGCTCTTACCCATTAAACAGTAACTCCTCTTTTTCTACTCCCCCCCCCCCCCCACCAGCCTGGGGCAAACATCCCTCTACTTTCTGCCTTTCTGAGTCTGACTACTCTAAGTACCTCATATTGGTAGAGCCACATAGTACTTGTCCTTTTGTGACTAGCTTATTTCACTTAGCATAATGTCCTCAAGGTTCTTCCATATTACAGCATGTGTCAGAATTTCCTTCCTTTTTAAGGCTGAGCAATATTCCCATGTGTGTAGAGACCACATCTTCTTTATCCATTTATCCATTGATGGAAACTTGGGGTGCTTCCATGTTTTAGCTGTTGCTACTATGAACGTGTGTGTGAGTGCGCGCGCGTATGTGTGCATCATTGAGATCCTGCTTTCAATGTTTTGAGTACCTACCCAGAAGTGGAATTACTGGATTATATGGTGATTCTCTTTTTACTGAGGAACTGCCATGCAGTTTCCCATAGTGGCTGCACCACTTTGCATTCCCGCCAGCAGTGCACAAGGGTTCTAGTATTTCCATATCCTCTTCAACTCTTGTTTTCTGGTGTTTTGTTTGTTTATGGTAAACATTCTACTGGGGATGAGGGAATATCTCACTGTAGTTTTTGATTTGCATTATTCTGACTAGTGATGTTGAGCATTTTTTCATGTGCTTGTTGACTTTTTATATATATCTTCCTGGAAAAACTGTCCATTCAAGTCCTGTGCCCATTTTTGAGTTAAGTTGTCTTTTTTGTTATAGAGTTTTATAAGTTCTCTATATAGACTGGAGTATAATTATCAGAAATGTAATTTGCAAATATTTCCATACTGTGAGCTGCCTGTGGATATTGTCTTTTGATGCAAAAATTTAAAAATTTTCATGATGTTCAATTTGTCTACTTTTCCTTTTGTTGCCTGTGCCTTTGGTATCATATCCAAGAATCACTGCCAAACCCGGTGTCATGAAGCTCTAGTCCTATGTTTTCTTCTAAGAATTTTCTTGTTTTAGGTTTTACATTTAGTTCCTTGATCCATTCTGAGTTATTTTTTTGTATGGTATTAGATAATGATCCAACTCTATTCATTTGCATGTAGAAATCCAGTTTTCCCAATGCCATTCGTTAAAAAGATGGAAGGCCCCATTGAATGATCTTGGCACCCTTGTCAAAAATTGTTTGACCATGTACATGAAGATTTATTTCTGGGGTCTCTATTCTATTCGGTTGGCCTTTATGTCTGTCTTTATGCTAATACCACAGTGTTTTGATTACTGTATCTTTGTAGTAAGTTATAAAATCAGGAAATGTGAGTCCTCCAACTTTTTCAAGATTGCTTTGGTTATTTGGAGGTCTCTTGAGATTCCATATGAATTTTAAGATGAGTTTTTCTATTTCTGCAAAAAATATCACTGGGATTTTGATGGGGATTGCAATGGATCTGTACATCATTCTGGATACTATCAGCATTTTAACAATTTTAACTCTTCCAACCCATAAACATTGGATGTTTCCATTTATTTGTGTCTTTTTGTTGTTATTTCCTCTTCTTTAATTACTTTCAGCAATGCTTTGTAGTTTTCATTCATTGTACAAGACTTGCATTTCCTTGCTTAAGTTAATTCTTAACTTTTCTCTTTTTTTCTGGTATTGTAAACGGAATTGTTTTTGTAATTTCCTTTTCAGAGTGTTGTTTGTGTGTAGAAATAAACTGGTTTTTGTGTGTTGTTGTACCCTGCCTCTGATTTATTCTAACAGTTTTGTTTGTGTGTAATCTTTATGGTTTTCTGTATATAAGGTCATATTATCTGCAAACAGATAATTTTAATTCTTGCCTTCCAATTTGAGTGTCTTTTATTCCTTTTCTTATCAATCTTGCTTTGGTTAGAACTTCCATTTCTATGTTGAATAGAAGGGGTGAACTTGGGTACCTTTGCCTCATTCCTGATCTTAGAAGAAAAGCTTTCCATCTTTCATTGAGTATGATGCTTGTTATATGTTTTTCACATATGACTTTTACCATGTGAAGGTAATTTGCTTCTATTCTGAGTTTGTTGAGTGTTTTTTAATCATGAAAGGATGCTGAATTGTCAAATACTTTTTCTGCACTAAGATGATCATGTGGTTTTCTCCCCTTCATTCTGTGATTTTTTTTGTGTTGAACCATGTTTGCATTCCAAGAATAAATCTTTCTTGGTGTCATGTTGTATAATCCTTAATGTGCTATTGAATTCTGTTTGTTAGTATTTTGTTGAGGATTTTTGCATCAATGTTCATGAAGGATATTGTCTGTAGTTTTCTTTTGTTGTAGTGTCCTTAGCTGGTTCTGGTATCAGGGTAATACTGGCCTGACTAGTTGAGAAGTGTTCCTTCTTATTGTTTTTGTCATTGTTGTTAAACTTTAAGAATGAAGAATGATTGTAATTTGTTCTTTAAGTGTTTGGTGGAGTTCACCACTGAAGCCATCAGGTCTAGGGCTTTTCTTTGTTGGTAGGTTTTTGATTACTGATTTAATCTCCTTAGTATTTATAAATCTATCTACATTTTCTTCTTCTTCCTGATTTAGCCTTGGTAGGTTTTGTGTTTCTAGGAATCTATCCATTCCATGAAAGTTATTTAAATTGTTGGTGTATGACTGTTGACTGTACTCTCACATAATCCTTTTTTTTGTAGAATTATTATTTTGTAGAATCAGTGGTAGAGTACCCACTTTCAATTCATTTAGTATTTTGAGTCTTCCCTCTTAGTTGTTCAGCTAAAAATTTGTCAGTTACGTTCATCTTTTCAAAGAATCAACTTTTGGTTTCATGACTTTCTCTATTTTTTTAATTCTCTATCTCATTTTTCTCTGTTCTAATCTTTATTTTTTTCCTTGTCTAGCTTTGGTGTTAGTTCCTTCTTCTTTTTCTAGGTCCTTAACTTGGAAAGTTAGGTTATTTGATGTCTTTCCTATCTTTTAACATAAGCACTTAAAACTAAATTACTCCCTTAGTATTACTTCTGCTGCATCCTGTAAGTTTTGGTATATTATGTTCTAATTTTCATTCATCTCTAAGTATTTTCTAATTTCTCTTGCAATTTCTTTTTTAATCTGTTGATTGTCTAAGAATGTGTTATTTACTTTCCACAATTTTGTGTTTTTTTCTAGTTTTCCTTCTGATATTGATTTCTAACTTCATCTGACTGTGGTCAGAAAAGATACTTTGTATATCCTTTTTAATTGATTGAGGCTTAATCTGTGGCCTAATATATGCCCTCTTCCATGGGCACTTGAAAAGAATGTATATTGTTTTGTTGTTTGTGCTCTAATTGGTTTATTGTGTTAAGTCCTCTATTTCCTTACTTATCTTCTGCCTAGTTGTTTTTCCATTATTGTGAGTAGAGTATTGAAATTTTCAAACACTATTGTAGAACTATCTTTAAACTGTCAGTTTTTGCTTCAGCTATATATATATATATATATATATATACATATATATATATATTTGCATCAGATATTTTTATGGTCTATCATTAAGTGCATAAACATTTATAATTATTACATCTTCTTGCTGTATTGAAACTCTTATTAATACCAGTGTCTTTTTTCTTTTATAACCGTGTGTGTGTGTGTGTGTGTGAGAGAGAGAGAGAGAGAGAGAGAGAGAGAGAGAATGTGTATGCACAAGCAGGGGTAGGGGAAAGGGAGAGAGAGAATCTCAAGCAGGCTCCATGTCCAACGCTCTATGCAGGGTTTGATCTCAACAATGTGAGATCATAACCTGAGCCAAAATCAAGAGTTGGATGGTCAACCGACTGAGCCACCTAGGCACCCCTCTTGTAATCTTTTTGATTTAAAATCTATTTTGTCTGATACTAGTATTGCTACCCCTGCTCTCTTTGGTTAATATTTGCATAGAATATCTTTTCTCCATCCTTTCATTCTCAACCTGTTTGTGTCATTGGATCTCAAGTGAATCTCTTATAGATAGTACATCATTGCATCACGTGTTCTTATCCATTCTGCCAATTTCTGTCTTTTGATTGTGAATGGAAATTCACATTTAAAATAATTATTGACAAGGGACTTCTGTGACTATACTTTTTGTTTACTAAATGCCTTATGGCTTTTGTCTCTCAGGTCCTACAATACTGTTCTGTGTTGATTGTCATAGATGTTTAAATTCCTTTCTCATTTGCTTTTTTGTGTATTCTATAGCTATTTTCTTCCTACTTACAATGGGGGAAACAATGCGGATTACATTTAACATCCTAAAGTTCTAACACTCTAATTTGAATGTTTACCAGCTTAACTTCATTAACTTACAAAACTCTCCTTTACAGCTTCATCCCCACCTCTTTCAGCTGTCATAAGATTACATCTTTATAATTTTTTTAATGTTTATTTATTTTTAAGAGGGAGAGAGAGAGAGACAGTGTGAGCAGGAGCGGGGAAGAGAGAGAGGGAAACACAGAATCTGAAGCAGGTTCCAGACTCTGAGCTGGCAGCACAGACCCTGACACAGGGCTTGAACTCATGGATCATGAGATCATTACCTGAGCCAAAGTTGGACACTTAACTGACTGAGCCACACAGGTGCCCCTATAAGATTACATCTTTATATATTATGTGCACCAAAATATAAACTAACAATTCTTTTAAATTTATTAGTATTTTAAATTACATAGAAAACAAGATTTGTAGTTCCCAAAGTTACAGTAATACTAGCTTTGAAACTAATAATTTTTTTCTTTAAATATGTTATTAGTCTTTCAAATCACTTAAAAAGCAGGGGCGCCTGGGTGGCTTAGTCGGTGTAGCATCCAACTCCGCTCAGGTCGTGATCTCGCAGTTTGTCAGTGTGAGCCCCGCATTGGGCTCTGTGCTGACAGCTCGGAGCCTGGAGCCTGCTTCGGATTCTGTGTCTCGCTCTCTCTCTGCCCCTCCCTTACTTGCACTCTGCCTGTCTGTCTCTGTCTCTCTCAAAAATAAAAGAAAAACACTTAAAAATTAAATAAATAAATCATGTAAAAAACAAAAAGTACAGTTACAACCCAGTTACAATAATACTAGCTTTTATAACTGTTCGTATATTTGCTTTTATTGAGATCCTTATTCTCCATACAGCTTTAAGGTGCCTAGTGACCTTTCATTTCACCTTGCAGGACTCCCTTCAGCCTTTCTTGAAGGGTAGATCTAGTGGTCATGAACTCCCTTGGGTTGTGTCAATCTGGGAATGTTAAAATGTTTTAATATCTCTCTCAATTTGAAGGACAGTTTAGCTGAATTTAGGATTTTGGTTTTTTTCTTTTTTCTTTTTTCTTTGAGCACTCTGAATATACAGCCCTGGTGCCTTGTGGCCTCCAAAGTTTCTGATGAGAAATCTGCTGATAATCTTATTGAGAATTCCTTATATGTAGTGATTTGCTTTTCTCTTGCTGCTTTCCAGATTCTCGGTTATTGTCTTTTGAAAGTCTGATTATAATGTATCTTGGTGGGGGTTTCTTTGAGTTCATGTTACTTGGAGTCTGTCAAACTTCTCTGGTGTTTATACTCATGTCTTTCATCAGATTTGGGACTTTTCAAGCCATCATTTCCTCAAATATTCTTGCTATCCCTTTCCTCTTTCTTTCTTCTCCTTCGGCCGCCTCCACAATGTGCATGTTATTCTCCTGGATGACACCCCACAGGTCCCTTAGGCTCCATTTATTTTTAAAAAATCTTTTCTTTCTGTTCTACAGATTCAATAAATTTCAATTCTTCTACCTTCACATTTGCTTATTCTTTCTTCTGCCTGCTCAAATCTGGGTGGCCATGTTTTGTGCTTATTGCACTTATTTTCACAGTTGTCCCCCTGTAGCAGGTTTTAGGTGGTATAAGGATATGGTGACATGAACTTGTGGCAGTGGCCCTCCATGACTAAAAGTCCGGAGGCATCATTTCAGGTCCACATGTGTCTGAGCCTCTGCTACCATACAACTGGAGCCACATGCCCTCCCTTAATACAGGTAGGCTCAGCTTCTCATCCTGGTTTCAAAAATGAAAGTGAGTTTCAAGCTCAGGCTCCAGAGGAGTCCTGAGTGCCTCAGAATGAAGTCTTCCTCACTGTCAGCCAAGCCTTCAGGTTTCTGGCTGATACTTGGGTACCATCTCTGGTATATGCCTGTATGAGTGGTTCCTGGTCCCTTCTTGGCCCTGAGTCCCATATAGTAGCTGGTTGGCCTCCTGGAACATCTTCTAGTCTGACTATTCCTGTCTGGCTTGGCCCTAGTTGCCTTGGGTCTTTGAGGGTGATAGCCTCTCGCTACAACCAGGAACCATTGTTGACAAACTTCTCTCAGTTCTCCTTCTGTAAGGCTGGGCTACTTTCCAGAAATAGCTGCTGTCCCCTCAGGGAGTAGACTCAACTCCTGAAGTCTGCCTACTCCAAGTCTGCCTGGCCCCAGAACTGCAAAGGGAGCAGTTGGTAAGATGTGATAGCACATGTGCATGAACAGATAGCAGAAGGAAAATTCAAAGTGGCCCAAAACTGGAATAACTCTACAATATATCCAAACTTGGAAAGGTTTTTGAGTGAAAGTGGGCATTATTAACTGTTACGTCAGAACAATAAGCAAAAACTGGGACATTCCTGGGCAAGATAGGTCACATGGTTAATTATAAACTATTAGGGGAAGTTAATCATTCATTTTGGCATGCATGTGTGAGACAAATTTCTAAATACATCAAGGACCTATCAGAAATGCAGCACCATGAACATACATCTAGTCAGAATGATGCACATCATAACAAATCCCATTTTGGTGGGGTAGCAGAGGAAAACAGTCAGAAAGACAAAGAAGGCAATAGAAGGCATCGCCTGCAAGATCATTAGGAAGAAAAATCATGAAATCACAGTGTATCTTGAAGATACTTTGTCTTCTCTCAAAAGGATTGTGTTGATATAGGGCCGGCTCAGGAGTGAATATAATAAAACCAGGAGCACCTAAAGTGGGATGCTGGAAGTGATGCTGTGGGTTATTGAACCACAGTGAGAGAAAGCACATCAACAGAGGTAAAGGAACTTGGGAAGTGAGGGGGGGCAGCTGGATCTACTGCAAACAAGGAAGCTGAAGACGTCAGCTCCATTGGGGAAGGTATTCTTTGTCTTCGCGTTCCCATGTATACCCCCAGGATTTAGAACAGTGAACGATAACTAGCGATTGTTCACTAAACATTTGTTCACTGAAAAGATACAGGAGGAGCTTGATATGGAGAATGAGGCCTGGAGGAAGGCAAGTCACACAGCCAGCGAGAGGCAGGGTCAGAAATAAAATTCAAACTTCTCAAATTGCAGCCTTACTTCAGTGTCTGTGGGAATCAATTGGACAATCTTTGAGCGTTCCCACCTGATGCCGATCCTTCCACCACCTACTTCTTTGCAAATACAGTCCTCCCTTGCCTACCCCATTCTACCATCTGCCATCACAGCTGGTTGGGGGGAAGGCAACAGGAAATTCCATGAGACTTTGCCCTGCCATCTCCATCCCCAACTTATTTCTCTGGGTTTCTGGCTGTACAGCTGCTGCTATACTGTCTGGTCTACTGCCACCTGTTCTTTCCCATAAGTCTTTCTTTCTGTTGTGTGTCTTCCTCGGTGGAATAGCAGGTCCCTCTATACCTTTCTCTTCTTCCTGCATGAACTGGCCCAGTTTGGGACATTCTGTTAGGTCTGGTATCCAAATACTTCCCTTCAGATACTAGTTCCCCCACTTGCTGTGTGAGTAGGAGCAACACAGATCTCTCTCTTGAGTAGAGGGAGTGAGTCTGGGATACTGAGGGTGGTGGAAGATGTAGGTTTGATAGGGATGTTGCCCTGTGTGAAGGGATCCACATCACCAGGAACAGAGGGCATGTAAAAACAATCAAATGATGAGACTGCACTGTGGAGTGACTGGGTTGAGATGTGTCAACTTTTATGGGAAAGAATCTGTGTCAATAGCTTCTGCCAACAGCCAGGACAGCCATGTATCCCTCCTATCAGAAAACTAAATCAAACCATCTCATCAACCTATACTGGGAACCCTCTAACCCCTTCCCCAGCCCCACCCCCACCTCCAAAGATCGGCTAAGAGCTCTTGCTGGGATCTTTTATTACCTGTTTTCTTCTTGACTTCTCTTCCAGTTGAGAGGGAAAAGCTCAGACAGCCAGTAGAGGACTCGTAGACAAGCTGGTAAGGTGAGTTCACGCCCACAGTTGGAGTGCTCATGGAGGAATCTGGAGTGGAAGATGGAGGAACTCTTTTCTCAGTTTTTGTATTTTAACCAAAAATTTAATATTAGATTTTTTGTTCTTGCAGTATGGTGGAGTAGATAGTCTAAAGTGCCCTTGTTGTTACAAAACAACCAGAACTTGGAAGAAAAAGAATTTTTAATGCATGAACAGGCTCAGACTAATTAAGGGGAATCTTTCAGATTCCTTTCCGACAGTATCCTTCACCCCACTACAATATCCCTCAAGGGAGAAATGACACCAGCACAAGGAGCAAAGAGCAGCAAGCACAAAAGGTGACAGTATTACTGTGAGGGCAAATGTAGGTATAAGTGCGACACTAGGTGGAGGGAATAAACACTGATTCCCCATATCCAGGGAATCAGTCTCTTTCAGAATCACACTGTTTCATGTAGAATCATTTGCTATCTGACCACTTGAGAATCAAAATTTAGTACCCCCAACACTGGTAGAAAATCTTGATCATACTTAAATAAACCTCATGAAATCATTGGCTCACTCATCCCCCAAATATGGTCATTTCACTGGTTAGGCATGAAATTGTTTTTAAATGTTATTTGATTTATCATGGTTCATTCAAATTCATAAAGAAAATGGCAGACCTGATCTAAACAGATAAAGACTATATATAACCAGAGATCTCACACATGCAAATAATAATCTTTACTAGTGATTCAAAAGTTAAGATCATGACATCTTTCAGTATCTTCTAAATGAGCAGAAATGAACTGACAACAGCCAATACTGGTAAAGATGGGATAAAACCAGTCAACCATGCTGGTATAGACAAAATACATCTTGGAAACAGTCTTCAGCAAGAGCTGTACACATATTGAAACTTTCTGCCCCAGTTATCCCTCTTAATCAATCTTTTATCACTCTTAACCAATAGACACTGAAGTTGCATGTTGCAATGCGTATTACACTAATAGTAGGAAACCTGAAAACCTAAGCATTTGGTTAATAATAGAAAATGAATATAAGTCTATAACCAATTAAAACAACAATTATTAAAGTAAATAGCTACGTTGGCAAACATTTGTGTCTCACTTAAGGAAACTGAGAAACAGGAAAATTATAGTATTGTTTATGTAGTTATATACTTAACATAATATATAAACATATATGGAGAGAGAGAGAGATAGAGAGACAGAGACAGGGAGAGACAGGTGGAAGCACAAAAAGGAGACTGCAAAAATGGAAAATAGGTCTTACGTAAGGATGGCAAGATTATTTGTTTTCTTTTTTTGTATGTGTTTTACTTAGTAATGTTGCCAACAACTGAAAATCAAGGAGCAGAGTCTAGTTTTCTTCCATGACAAGGCATGACTTGTATGAACTTGCTGGAGAAAGGCAGGAAAGGAGGCTAATCACTAAGGAAATGCTACCTTAAGCAAGGGGTATATTCTGGCAGTAGCTTTACGGGAAGACTGCTCCAGACCCAGTTACAGCTTTGGTCTACCTCATGCAATAAGATGGTCCAGAAAAGCAAAAGTCATTCAAAATAAGTCAATAGCATTTGCATCTTCTTTTTAATGCCCTGTAAGAGCTAACTCAAGTCCTTCTAGGATTAATGCTTTTCCAGAAGGAACAGATCAGTCCTTCATTTATCTTTTGTTGGTTAGGGTGGGGTTTTTTTTTNAAGATGGGATAAAACCAGTCAACCATGCTGGTATAGACAAAATACATCTTGGAAACAGTCTTCAGCAAGAGCTGTACACATATTGAAACTTTCTGCCCCAGTTATCCCTCTTAATCAATCTTTTATCACTCTTAACCAATAGACACTGAAGTTGCATGTTGCAATGCGTATTACACTAATAGTAGGAAACCTGAAAACCTAAGCATTTGGTTAATAATAGAAAATGAATATAAGTCTATAACCAATTAAAACAACAATTATTAAAGTAAATAGCTACGTTGGCAAACATTTGTGTCTCACTTAAGGAAACTGAGAAACAGGAAAATTATAGTATTGTTTATGTAGTTATATACTTAACATAATATATAAACATATATGGAGAGAGAGAGAGATAGAGAGACAGAGACAGGGAGAGACAGGTGGAAGCACAAAAAGGAGACTGCAAAAATGGAAAATAGGTCTTACGTAAGGATGGCAAGATTATTTGTTTTCTTTTTTTGTATGTGTTTTACTTAGTAATGTTGCCAACAACTGAAAATCAAGGAGCAGAGTCTAGTTTTCCTCCATGACAAGGCAGGACTTGTATGAACTTGCAGGAGAAAGGCAGGAAAGGAGGCTAATCACTAAGGAAATGCTACCTTAAGCAAAGGGTATATTCTGGCAGTAGCTTTACGGGAAGACTGCTCCAGACCCAGTTATAGCTTTGGTCTACCTCATGCAATAAGATGGTCCAGAAAAGCAAAAGTCATTCAAAATAAGTCAATAGCATTTGCATCTTCTTTTTAATGCCCTGTAAGAGCTAACTCAAGTCCTTCTAGGATTAATGCTTTTCCAGAAGGAACAGATCAGTCCTTCATTTATATTTTGTTGGTTAGGTTGTTGTTGTTGTTTTTTAACTCTAGGCTTGTTTAAAGAGGAGCATCTGGAACAGACACACCAACAAATAAGAGATTTCTTAGGGAGTGTGGTGGAACAGTCTTGTTAACACAGCAGGATGCAGACATTACCAAATCCTCTCCAGAGTTCAGCTCAATTCTCTGCAAATTCTCCTCCACCAGATTAACCACAACCCAGAAGGGATGTAGGAAGTCACTGCATCACAGGGAAAGTCTGTGATCCTGCAAGAATGCTCAAACACCTTATGGGGTGGAATGCTAATGGTGACAACCATTTCCTTTTCAAGGTAAGGGAACACTACATTCAGGCAGGAGAGCACCATGGGTAGGTCTGAGGGTGGGCGGCTGGGCCACGTGGGACTTTCATACCCATGCAACAGACCAGTAGGCAGTGTCCCGCACAAATGAGATGGATCTCTAAGCTCCACACGGAATGCAAGGTGCAGGACTCCATGTGTGCTGTATCTGTGTATACACTATCTGTGTAAATAGTTACAGCATAGTTAGCAGGCCAGCGTTATCATGGCATACCTGATCTTGAACAGCATGGGCACAGAGTAAATTCCCATAAAACAAAGACCAGGTCACAGCAAACAGTGTGGGGGTGGGGGAGGGGGAGTCCAACTGGAATTTTATTTTAGAAAAGGAAAACAAACTCAATACCCAAAACATAAATAATCCAACCTAAAAATGGGCAGAAGACATGAACAGACATTTCTCCAAAGACAACCAGATGGTCAAGAGACACATGAAAATATGCTCAACATCACTCATCAGGGAAATGAACCACAATGAGATACCACCTCACACCTGTCAGAATGGCTGAAATCAAAACCAAAACAACAAGCATTGGTGAGAATGCGGAGAAAAAGGAACCCTTGTGCACTGTTGCTGGGAATGCAAACTGGTGCAGTCACTGTGGAAAACAGAATGTAGGCTCCTCCAAGAACTAAATAGAATTATTATATGACCCAGTAATCACACTCCTGGGTATTTACCCAAAGAATACAAAAGCACTAATTCAAAAGGATATATGTGCTCCGATGTTTACTGCAATATTACTTAAAATAACCAAATTACAGAAGCAGCCCTAGTGTCCATCAACAGAAGAATGGAGAAAGAAGACGTGGTGTGTATACATACAATAAAATATTATTCATCCATAAAAAAGAATATCTTCCCATTTATAGTGACATGGATGGAGCTAGAGAGTATTATGCTAAGTGAAATAAGTCAGTCAGAGAAAGACAAATACCAAATGATTTCTCTCATATGTGGGATTTTGGAAATAAAACAAATAAGCAGAGGGAAAAGAGAGACAGACAGACAGACCAAGAAACAGACCCTTAAATACAGAGAACACACTGGTGGTTACTGGAGGGGAGGTTACTGGGGTAGCGATGAAATAAGCGACGGGGATTAAGCGTACACTTATCATGAAGAGCACTGAGCAATGCAGAGAATTGTTGGCTCACTATATTGTACACTTGAAACTAGTATAACACTGTGTGTTGATTATGCTGGAATTAAAATTTAAAACTTCATAAAATTAGGGGTGCCTGGGTGGCTTAGTCGGTTAAGCGTCCGACTTTCGCTTAGGTCATGATCTCACGGTTCGTGGGTTCGAGCCCCACGTCGGGCTCTGTGCTGACTGCCAGCTCAGAGCCTGGAGCCTGTTTCAGTCTGTGACTCCCTCTCTCTCTGACCCTCCCCTGCTCACGCTGTCTCTCTCTCTCTCTCCTAGAAATAAATAAAA